CCCCCCAGCCCTCGGGGAACAGAGATGGGGCCCAGCAGCCCCTCTTGTGATGGGAAATCAGCATGGCCTCCTGGACGTTGGCTTCTCTTCCGGGGGCCTGTGGGGAGCAGGGAAGGGCTGGTTTCCCTATCTCCAGCCCAGGCTTCCTCCTCTAGTGTCTCCCTCCTCCTCCCCAACCCGCGAGAGCTGTACTTGGTCTCGGAAACAGCTGATGGCCTTGGAAGTGATAGGCACTTTCCATGCCTTAACTCATTTAGTCCTTAAAACACCTGAAGTTGGTACTATTCCTGCTCCCCAGTCAATGCAACGGAGGCTGTGAAGAGGTTAAGTCTCAATTGCATGCAGCTCCTAAGTAGCGGAGACAGGATTTGAACCCAGGACTGACCGGCTACCAAGTGCGTGCCCTTGCTCGCCCTACCCCTCATTCTGGAGCACGCCCTTCCCCCTGGCCCCGGCTGCCTCACTGCAGTCCCCTCTGTTCTCCAGGACGAGGGAAGAGCCGGCGACAGAGCATCTTCTGAGCTGCGCCCACCCCACTGCGGCCAGAGGGAGAGAGGGCCCACTGAGGGTGGCTTATGCGGCCCTCGGAGGACAGAGGACGGAGGATCGAGGGCGAGGCCAGCCCAGAAGACCTCTGGCAGCCCTGCTGGACACAGCTGGGTCCTGACCTGCTCCCCATGTCTCCCTGGTGGCCTCGGCCCAGACACCAACCCCTCCATCACCTGCCCTGGGAGGGGGTGAGGGGCAAGGAAGGACCTCGGACGCTTTTCCATCCCAAAGCCCTCGGGCACCAGTGTGGGGCCCACGGGGCCAGGAGGACCCAGCTGCCGGGCTGAGCACGGTGCCCTGGACATGCCTCCCCCGGGGCCTGCCTGTCTCACCAGTTTGGTAGATCCCGTTATGGGCCCCTCGTTCCCTTCTCCCCTCTGAGAGCAGGAAGCGACATGGCACCTTTCCCAGGACCCTGGAATCCTGGGTGCCAGTTTGTGTGCCAAAGCACCTGAGGGGCAGGTGCCCCCAGGGCCACCGGGGAAATAGTCGGCCTATCCCCACTCCATCACCCCACCTGCTCCCATTCCCCCTCCTGGCCAGAGGCCCTGTATGCTGCTGGATGCCTGCTGAGTCCGGCGGCCTGGCACCGCCAGGGGCACTCCTGCGCCTCCGCTGCCCGCCGTCTCCCTAGTCTGAAGGGGACTGACTGCCTTAAGTTGGAAGGTGGGAGCACGCACTGCCCTTGGAGCTCTGACCCGAGCTCCTACCTGCCCAGCCTTTCCCCAGAGCAGCTCCTGCTTGTCGCACCCGCGTGCTGATAAGCCAGCCCGGGGCCAGGGTCCTGAGGACAGCACCCAGATAGGCAGGGTCACCCGGCACTGGTGCCAGGCTGGCCTTGGCTCCTTGGGCCTGGCACAGCCTCCCTGCCCTCCTTCCCAGCCCCTGTGGCCCTGTCCTTGCTCCACCCGATCCTGGCACCAGCCGCCCCAAAGGGTGGTCATGAGAAGGCGAGTGTAAATGCCAGCCTGAGGTAGAGGAAGGTGGGGTGGGCCAGCACAGGGGCTGGAAGTCTGAGGGGCCTGGGCCCCTGGAGAAGGGCCTCCCCAGCACCCCTTCCGAGCCTGCCTGCTGTGTCCCCAAGGGCACCTCCACAGGTGGCTGAACCTCGAATACCAAGGCCAAGGGGAAGCCAGGCCCGACCTTTCCATACCAGCCCCTGCCCTGCCCGCCCTCCGCCTGAGGGGCAGCCCTGGAGGGTCTTTGCCTCCTGCAGGGCCCTCCCCTCCCCCACGGTACTGGTACTGTGAACGTCCTGGGACTCAGCAGGGAGACCGACGCCATATTTAATTCATGTACAGAAAGGAGCCGCAGTCTCGCGAAGAAAAGCTGAGTCCGACAGATTGATGCCAAAGATGGAGGCCTTCTGGGCCTCAGGGGTGCGGGTGTGTGTGTGTGTATGTGTGTGTGTGTATATATAAAGTGGAGCGAGCGTTTGGCTTGTGTGTCTCTCTGAACCCCCTTGGGCTGTAGGAGGACGCCCTGCACCCTCCCAGCTGTATTCCCAACGCTGCTGTGTTGAGGGCCAGGTCGATGCCCGTGGGCGCGGAGGAGGCCTGCGTCCAGCCTTGGCCCAGGTCCAGCCTTGGCCCCGGCCGGTGCCTGAAGAGTGGGGGCAGCCAGGGAGCCAAGAGGAGGGCTCTGCAGTTCTGGGTGCCGTAGCCAAGCCTGTGCTCCCCCAACCAGATGGCTCCCTGACTTCTTGGGAGGGAGGAAGGTTCAAGAGGGTTGACATGGGGAATGGCCAAGGCCAGGGAAGCAAACACTAGGGTACAAACCTCACGGTGATTCTGGCCCAGCAGTGCTCACCACCACCGGGGCTCCTCCTGCTGCCCAGTTGCCTCTGACCTTGGATCTGTCTACAGCCTCTTTCACACACACCTTCCACAGCTCTCGGCATCCTGCTCTCTAGGTTTGTTCTTTCCAAGGCCACTGGGAGAATGTGAGGCCCCTGAGCCACACCCCCGACCTCCCCTGTCCAGTGGGCTCAGCTCTGGCAGGAACCTTCCAGTGTGCTGGCATGCTTTCCAGAGGAGGAAGCTCATGTGGGAGGTGGTGAAACAGAATTTTTGGACTGGAACCCTGATTCTTTGTCCGATGGAGTCGAAGAATGAGTCCACGGACAGAGGGTAGTATAGCAAAGGTGGAGATTTAGTGGAGAACAAGTACAGACTCCCACGTGGAGAGGGGTAAAGAGTCCCACTGAGTTCCTTTTCCCTACAAAGAGTCCCACAGAATGGACTCCCAAGTAGGAAGGGGTAAAGGGTCCCCCTGAGTTCCTTTTCCCTATGGCTTAACAAGGCTGCAGATCCTGGTGCCTTGATATCCCCTGATTGGTCACTATTCCCTTAGACTGGTTACTATAGTAACTCCTGGGCTCAAAGGTTGACCCCCACATGGGACATGGGATGCCCGCCTCCCTCATTGTTCTTTTCTTTCTGGCTTTCTTCCTTCTTTATTATGTAAATTAGATATTTTTGGCTACTTCCAGCTCCCTTATCTTAGAGAGATGTACCTGTTGCTGCTTCCTTGTCTTATGGAAATGTAACTGCACCTGGCTTCCTTGTGTGATGGAGATGTACCTTCTCCCAGTCGGTAGCCCCGTGTTTTTCCATGGACCCCAATTCTAAAAATTCCCTAAGCCTGCCTATAATTCCCCTAAAATTCCTGTTTCAGTCCCCCCTCCGATTAGGAAACCCCAACTGCTGTTGGGGACAGGGGACGCCACATCTTTCTGGCTGCTTCCTGCTGGCCAAGGGGTCGTAGTTTGGGGCGGCAGTCGGGGTCCCATCGGAAGGGGGTGGTCTAAGGGTCCACAGAAGATGGATGTAGCGGCCTCCAGTTGCTGTTCCATGCGGAGGATCGGCTGTAGCTTTAGGGCTTCTAAATGGGAGGATATGAAACATACCAAAGATTAAACAGGCAGTGGTTAAAGATGAGTAATAGAAAAACAGCATAGACCAAGGTCTGGGAGAGGGAGTCAGCTAATGGGGATGGCATTATATCTTTAATTGGTGCCCAGACTTCTGGGGCAAGAGGCTCTGAGGCCTTCCTTTTAGCTAAGCTGCTTGCAGCAGAGTGTTATTCATGGCACAGACTTTGCCCTGCTCAATCGAGGGCTTCTCTGTGAATAAAAATCTGTAGAGGCTTAAGAAGTGGTTCTGGTCTGGTTGGTGGTAGGGGTAGCATAAGTGGGCCTATAGACTAAGATTCAACACATTTTACTCGGAAAGAGATGTGGGAGATATACATCTACTCGGAGATTATTTGACCCCGAATTGGGCTGCTTATAACATACTTAGTAGTTAGGGACTTGGGGGGCCAGTATGGCTTGAGAAATTTACGATACCAGGGTTCCAGAGAGGGGCTATGAGTAGGAATATCTTGTGGTGTTTCTGGGTCCCAGTAAGGACAGAGAAGCTCTCCTCCAGGTACCAGCCTAGGATTCAGGTGACACTTACGAAAAGACAGAATAAGAATTGTTAAAAAGATGAAAATACTGATTATTTAGAAATACCAGAGAATGTTCCTTACCTGGAACATTCTGGAATGTTCCTGATTTTATCTGGCACTCATTGACTCAGGATCCCTTCGAAAGAGACGTTTAAGGTCCTTTAGAGGCTCACAGGAGCAGAAATCTTGGTGATCTAGTTGAGGGCAATGCAGCTGTGTCCTCCTCCTGTGCTGGCTGGCATTCAAGGCTCACTGGAGACAGACGGATCGAGGAGTCGATGCTGCCGACCCGTTGGGAGACTTAAAGCCGGTGCCTGTAACAGGGCCTTTTGGGGCTGTTTAAAGGCCTGCCCAGATAAATGAGGGCCATTCCTGAAAATCCTGGGCCAGTATGGACCATATTAGCTGACCGCTTTCATTATTGGGATCTTTTAAAGGCGAATAGGAGCTGTGAGGAGGCAGGAGTATACAGAAAAAGGCATCCTTGATATCTAGTACTGTAAACCACTCTGTGTCCTCTGGAATTTGGGCTAATAATGCCTAAGGGTTAGGGACTCTTGGCTCGATAGGAGTCACTGTCTTATTTACTAGTTATCAGAACGAGTCTTCCCCCTTTATTAGGCTCTTGTAGCCCTAAGATGGGGTATTGTAAGGACGATGACAAGGTTTCAGTAAACCTTGGGCTTCTCAAATAGATGGCCGATTAGAATATTGAGCCCTTCTAGAGCAGTGGTTCTCAACCTTCCTAATGCCGCGACTCTTTAATACAGTTCCTCATGTTGTGGTGGCCCCCGACCATAAAATTATTTTCGTTGCTACTTCATAACTGTAATTTTGCTACTGTTATGAATCGTCATGTAAATATCTGATATGTAGGATGTATTTTCATTGTTACAAATTGAACATAATGAAAGCATAGTGATTCATCACAAAAACAATATGTAATTATAGATGTGTTTTCAGATGGTCTTAGGTGACCCCTGTGAAAGGGTCGTTCGACCCCCCAAGGGGTCGCGACCCACAGGTTGAGAACCTCTGTTCTAGAGCCTCAGGGTTGAGAGGACAGTGTTTCTGATGTGAATGTGAGGCTTTTTGCAGGATCAGGAAGGCACCGCTTACCCAGCTGCGCCCTAAAGGCTGAGAAAAAAGATCTCTCTCTTGGCTTCCCAGACATGCCTGTAACGGCTGCAGCCTCTGAGGATTTACCAGGGTTTGGGAGGAGTACAGAGAAGGTGGCTCCAGCATCGGGGAGGAAATTAATTTCCTTGCCCCCCCGCCCCCCCCCCCACACAGGATGAGAAGGTGGCTTCAGCATCGGGGAGGAAATTAATTTCCTTTCCCCCCCACTGTCAGGCTTACCCGGGGCTCCTGGGTGGAGGTGGCAGTCCTCTGAGGAGCTAGATTGAGAGACTCTGAGCCCCATCAGTCCTGTTGGGCCAGCTGGTCACCAGCCCTGCCCCAAGGGACCTCAGTCTCCAGGGTCAGTCTGACTTCCAGTGGTTTCCTTGGCAGGTCGAACAGGGCTTCAGGAGTCCAACGTGCCCCTTGGGGCGATTCCGGCGCATAAGTCCAACCTGTTGCAGTTGTAGCCAGTGATCAGGACTGACTGTTCGCCTCCGGGCTCTGACTGGGGGCCCTGGCCTTGCCAAAGCCTGGCACAAAGAACCTGGGTTCTGGCCCGGCTTCCCCTGTTCTTCTGCCTCATTCTGGTCTTTATTCTAGAACACAGAGGCGGCGATGATCTTCAGGAGATTGTCTATTCTCGGGACTCATAGCCCATTTCTGCAATTTTCTCCTGACGTCTGGGGCAGCCTGAGTGATACATTTGTTCTTTAAAGTTAGTTGTCCCAGTTCTGACTCTGGGGTAATGTTCGTATTCTTGGCTAGTGCCTCCTGGAGCCTTTCTAGAAAAGCCGAGGGATTTCGTCAGCCCCTTGATTAATGGTGGTTAATTGAGCAGTTGACAGGTTTTGATTTACTACGTCGGAGGCCTTCTATACTACAAAACTGGCAGTGCTTTATTTTCCGTCTCAGTGTCAGGGTTCCATTGAGGGCCCACAGGGGGAACTGCCTCTTGTCCTGTTAAGAAATCCCTGTTTCTTCCCTCAGAGTCCTCTCTTCCCCCAGCACACGTAAGAAAACGGTCATTCCCAAATTTTCTTGCATTTTCTAGTATATTTTGCTTTTCAGTGGCTGAGAGGGTCGGGTTTCATATGAGCATGATGTCTCTATAGGAGAGAGCAAATACTTGAATGAGGTTTTGGAAGACCTCAATATGTCTGTCAGGGTCTTCTGAGAACTTTCCTAGGTCACTTGTAATTTGTCTCATGTCCTGGGGTAAGAAGGGGATCTGGGCTAAAGGGTGGCCAGATCCTTCATCTGTCTGGGGGCAAGCTGAGGTTGGCTCAGCCCTGGGCGGGGCACGGCCTCCGCCTTCTCCCTCGGTGGCCTTTGGGTTGTTATTGCCAGGAGCCAGGGATTTACTTGACATTTTTTATATAAATCTGGCCTGTCCCTTCGGGTAAAGAAAGTTTGGACATATGGGACTTCTGACCATTTCCTATCTTTCCTACAAAAAAGATCTAACCGTAGGAGGGCGTTATACTTGAGGCTTCCCTGTGAGGGCCAACTCTCCCCATTTGCCAGTTGGTATTGTGGCCACACCTGAGTGCAGAAAAAAAAATCAGGCGCTTTCTTTTTAAGGTCTGTGGGTCAAACTTAATCCCCCAATTCTTGAGGATACATCCTAATGGGCTGTCTTTTTGTGGTGTAGAGAACACGCTTCCCATCTGAAAGAAAGAAGAAGAAAAAGTGCACAAGGATGTTTCCTGTATCCATTGTGTTTACAAAGACGTCCTTGCCTGTGAGGCGTCCCCCACCTGGCCAGGGCTGAAGGGAGTCCCCACTCTCAGACTGGAGTGAGGGGCTCCTTGCCCACGTACGGCCGCTGGGCCGGGTGGACCAGCCGCACTGACCACCGCGG